ACAAAGTTGCGACAAGAACCTGTCGCATTCGATGACGGTTTTGCCGTCATAGCGGAGGGGGAGGAGGAGCTTCAGGGTCTCCTTGTTGGGGGCAGCTGCAGGGGAGGACATTATCGGCGTCGGGGGGGACGGAGGACGCTGCGGGGGCGGAGGCGGCTGTGGTGGCCTTCCGCTGGTCGAACTTCGAGAGGAGCGAGTGCTCGAGCGGCCTCTCGGCGGAGTTGGCGGTGAAGGCGCCGAAGGAAGTTCGGCGGTGGTGTCACGTACGTCAGGGACTGCTGACGCGGGGGCGAGCGCTGTCGGCGAGGCGGACCCAACAGAATCCTCAGACTCGGACTCCGAGACTCCTTCTTCACCTGCACCCTCCTCAGGCTCTGGCTCTGGCGCAGGGTCTGGAGGGAGATCTCCTCGAGCTTGACTGGACTCGGCGACAGTTTGGGGAAGGCGGGAGCTAGGGGAGACAGGGCGAGAGTGCCGCAAGGCCGATCGAGATGCAAGGGTGCTTCGGGGTCCGAGCGGGTGTTGCGCTCGTCGGATCGCTTTGTAGCGCGGGTAGTCTTCTGGGATCGATCGGGGGGTTCGGTTCGGGCACGGTTGCTGCTCGCAACGGTAGATGATAGTCTCAGGACCATCTGGGATGTAGACGTCGATGAGGTCCTGTGAGTCGAAGGCGTGGACTTGGCCTTGGCAGGCAGCCACGTTGGATGGGGGGCGGAAGGGGAGGTGCGCGTACTACGAAAGGCCGTGCTATACTAGCTTACACCTACGGCGCCCGAGATGACACTGAGATTTGCAGTTCACGCAGGGCCCAATACTGCTTTTGACTATTATGCAGCAGGAACCAAGGCTATGCGTCCGTGAGGACAAGTACCGCTCACTGAAGCGCAGGTACTGAAGAGTTCGTTTCTCTAGTGTTGGTGATGTATAGTAGGCTATCTATGTATCGTAGGGTACAGTAGGGGTGCGCACCACCCAACCTATGGGAAAGGAAAATGAGTGTGTGGGGTTCCAAGGAACACCGGCAGCTTTGTGGAGTTTCGACCTAATGTCGCGACTTGAGGTTAAGCGACTGAGGAAAACCTAAATGCTGGGGGCGTCCGACTAAGTCTCACCGAAGCGATGGTGAGCTATGCTCAAACCTAAGGCTAGGGACAAGTAAGTATATTAGTTAGCAAAGGTAAGTAAGGGATACAAGTGGGAGCTTACTGACCTAGGGACAAGAGGTCGAAACTGAGGTCCCTAGGGCAGCAGAGGCCGGTTTATATACAGGGGAAGATAAGGGCAGGCTGTGCGCGCTGGTCCGTGCGCAGCTGGTCCGTGCACAGCTGGTCTGTGCACAGCATGCCGACGCGGCCCCGGGGGCCAGTGAGTCAGAGCGGCTGTGTCAGCGGAGCCCGAGCTGTGCCGTGCGCTGCCGCCCATCTAATCTAATCGTACAGTAGATAACGACGTGTCCATATCAGGCAGGTAGTACAGAGGTCGCGGGTTCGAGTCCGCGAAAAGGAAAAAAATAAAAAACGGCTAGGCGCCGTACCGACTTGTGACAGTCCCAGCCTTATGCGTGATGCGGAAGTCGAAGCGAGCCAGGAACAGCGACCATCGTGCTTGACGACGCGTGAGATGCTGGAATGTACGCCAGTACTCGAGATTCTTATGATCGGTTATGATCTCGAACTGATTGGGCAGACCCTCGAGATAGTGGCGCCAATCGTCTAGCGCCTCGATGATCGCGAGCATCTCCTTATCGTAGATCTCGTAGTTCCGCTGTGCCGGGTCCATCGCATGGGATCTGAAGGCAATAGGGTGCCATTTGCCATCATCCTGCTTCTGCATCAACACGCCACCGGTGGCATACCCTGAGGCATCGACTTCAATGTGCGTTTCCCGATTAGGGTCGTACAGCGCTAAGACTGGAGTCGTCGCAAAGAGCCGCTTGAGCTCATCGAAGGCATGTTGCTCCTCTTCGCCCCAACGCCATGGGTCATTCCCTGTGAGCCGGTCGAGTGGTCGCGAGATCTTGGCGAAGTCTTTAATGAAGCGGCGGTAAAAGTTGGAGAACCCCCGGAACTTCTGAACATCTTTCTTGTTCCGGGGTACCGGCCACTCATTAATTCCTTTTAGCTTCGCGGGATCCATCGCTACCTCATCGCCACCGAACACATAGCCGACGTAGTCGACCTTGGGAACGTCCCACTCGCACTTCTCAGGCTTTAGGAACAGATCATTGTCCTGAAGGCGACGAAGAACCTCGCGTGTGACCTTCTCGTGCTCCTCCTTGTTGGTGGAGAAGATGAGTATGTCATCCAGGTATACGAGGATCTTGCCACCAATGATGAGATCGTGGAATATCTCGTTCATCATTGCCTGGAAGGTCGCAGGGGAATTGGTGAGACCGAAGAACATCACCAGGGGTTCATACAGCCCCCGGTTAGTTACAAAAGCCGCCTTCCACTCGTCACCGGCTTTGATCCGGACGTTGTTGTATCCCCATCGGACATCGAACTTCGTGAAGAGCGTGGCACCGCAGAGCTTGTCCACCATTTCGGCGATCAGCGGCAAGGGGTAGCGATTCTTGACGGTGATCGCCTCTAGCCGGCGGTAGTCCTGTACGGGTCGAAGTGTCCCTTCCTTCTTTTTGATGAAGAAGAAGGGAGATGAGATAGGCGACTTCGATTCTCGTATGTAACCCTTCGCCAGCTGCTCCTTTAAGAACTTATCGAGCTCCTCCTGCTCGTTGTTCGATAATGGGTACACCTTCGAATGGAACGTTGAGTAGCCGGGCACGAGTTCGATCGCATGGTCGTACGGCTTCCTTTCGGGTAACCGCTCTGATGCTTCTTTTGAGAAGACCTTCAGAAACTCGTGGTACTGTTTGGGTACCGACTCCTCGGCGGTTTTGATGACCTTCTTCTTGATCTCTTCCTCAGCGAACAGCTGGGAATACGTGTGCCCTGCTGCGACAAACAACTGAGGGGCGCCGGGAAGTGTGACACCCTGCTCCCAGGCTTCGATCAAGTCAGCCTCATTCCACTCTACTTCCGTCAGATCTTCCTCGGGTTCGAAGTCCGGGAGTACCTTGCTCCGGCAAGCACCTATGACCGACCGTCTGGACTTCTGCGAGCGCCTGCGCGCCGTGGGCCTGACCCCCGTATCACGCGCAGTCGCTGCTTGCTCCATTTGGCCAGTCCTCCTGGCACTGCACGTTTCAGGGCATCGCGATAGCTTTAGGGAGCCCGATTCCCAATCAATCTCGGGGTTGTGCTCGCGTAGCCAATCCAACCCAACGATCACATCCTCTGGACCGATGTCCGTGACCGTGAACACCATCTTTTCGACGTGTTCTCCTATCTGCATCTGTAGCACGGCTACCTCCGAGATGCTTCCGTCTTTATTGAGCGTTCCATCGATATTGTAAAGCGGAATTGGCTCCTTCAATTTCCGCGTTCGTACTCGATTCTCCGTAATGAAACGCTTGTTGATGAACTTCGTAGTGGCTCCGCTGTCCACCATTGCAACTATGTCTTTGTGCCGTCTTTCTCCTTTGAGGCGCACCGGGATGTGGAAGTGCTGGGACCCGTGGTCCAACTCGTAAACATTCGCGGTCGCCAATACATTGTACAAATTGTTATTACGAGGTCCGACGCGTGCGGCACGAAGCGCGGACCGGATCAAAAACCCTCCTCCTTCATTGCCCGATAGTGCTCGAGCTCCTCGCGCATCGACTTCACCTGTGCCATTAAGTCCACCAGCTCCGATTGCTCGGATTTCGCTGAAGCGGCACTTATACTTGCCGAGGGTGATGTTGTGACGGGGGCGCTTGTCGCCGCCTGGGTGGATCCCGAGGCAACCGTAGCCCGCGCGTCGGCGCGTTTTGTGTAAGGCTTGTCCTTACAGTTAGGGCACTCAAAACGTCGGTACCCTTGCTTCCCACAGCCGAAGCATGTGCCGGGGAAGTTGCCTTTTCCGACGGCCACATTGATGCTGGCCGAAGCTGTGTGTGATGAGGGTGCACCACCACGCGCCCCTCCGCGTCCTCGACCTCGGGCCGAGAAGAAGTTATTTAGCTCGGGCCGACAAGCCCGGCTAATGTCGAGGATCTGCTCGACCTCAGTGGCGCACTTGTCAGCGTCTTGCCATGTGGTGAAAGTCTCGAGCTCGATCTTTCGGTATACGCGGGAGGGGATGCCGCTCAGGTACTTGTCACGTAGCTCCAGGTCCCCATACCCAGAGCGGTCCGCCGGACCCTTGAACAGCGCGGAGAACTCCGCAGCGGTGCATTTTTCGCGGACCGACTTGTCCGCGCAGAGCTTCGCCAGCTCTACTTGTGCTGCCACCTCGTCGTCGAGATTTCTGAAGCGGGCCCTGAAGGCGGCGGCAAAGGCCACTTCGTTCGCGAATGGGGTCGTGGCCCTTTGTACTCCTATCTGCACCGACACGAGCTGGGCAAAGTAGGGAGTGGCCCAGGCGCGGGCGTCTCCATCGAGCAGGCTAAGTGCGACCTGCACCTTAAGCTCGATAGTGGTCAACGACGTGTTGACCAGCCAGTAGATACAAAGTTGCGACAAGAACCTGTCGCATTCGATGACGGTTTTGCCGTCATAGCGGAGGGGGAGGAGGAGCTTCAGGGTCTCCTTGTTGGGGGCAGCTGCAGGGGAGGACATTATCGGCGTCGGGGGGGACGGAGGACGCTGCGGGGGCGGAGGCGGCTGTGGTGGCCTTCCGCTGGTCGAACTTCGAGAGGAGCGAGTGCTCGAGCGGCCTCTCGGCGGAGT